TTTAAACTCAAATTCTATCGATCAGTTATCATGGAGTCTTTTGCTAATGAGTTAGTTTCTAACGCTTCTTTTAATTGTTATCCGAATAATAGTCTTAGTTCGTTTACAAATTTTCTACCGAAACAAATAATTTTAAAAGGAGAATAGGAGGTTGCGTTTTCAGAAATATCGTACCCTTCTTTGTACCAAAATGCTACTGAGGGAAAGTTTACTTTCGTAGAAGACAGGGAAAGTTCTGAGGAGAAAAGAAAGATGGAACCTACGCATATTGAACCAGGATTGTATCCAAGTACTGTTGGTACTGCTGTAGCCTTGAACAACAAACTTCGAGAACGTCTAGGTGCTCAAGAATTCGAATATAACTGAATCTATGTATCAGTAGACAAAATTTAACAAAAAATTGCCGTTGACTTATCTGAGGATCAATCAATTTTTAGTATCCAAAGTTCTGATTTGATTTACATTTTTTGTTGTGATTTAGAACAAAATCAAACAGGGTTCAAAATGAGTGGAAAAGGACCGCATCATCCTCATTATTCTTACGACATTATAAGAATTCATTCTTTGATGTTATATACTGATTTAACAGAATATAACATAGTTGGCGATACAAAAAATCCTTTATTGCCTTGTTTTCTTTCCATTTCCAAAGGGAAAAACAGAGACATAATATCTACAGGATAGTACATGAATTATCAGTCCTTTACAAAGTTACAGTTTAAAAACTATTAAAAAACTCTTTCCATAGTATCAAGATAGAACTAAGAAATAGTACAGGTGAAAAATTTTTGTGTCCGTAGGAATTACATGAGTTGTTCTCTTGTTTCGAAAGATTTCGAAAAATCATTTTTGGCTACAACTTCACACGAGATCGTTGCTCAAAATTCAGCTGATTTCCCTATTTTTTGAGGAAATGCAAGACAACGTGGAAGAGGTTTTGGTGCTCTTACGAAAACTCATTGGAGAACTGCAAAAAGAGTTGGGGCAGATTTATTTAAAATCGCTGCTGCAGAGATTAGGGAAGTTGTTAGTGGACGCAAAAAGCTCAAAACATTTGCAAAAAATGTGGCAACAAAAACAGTTTGGATACAATTGGGAGGTGGAAACAAGAAATCAAAGCGTAGAACCAGATCCATTTCTCGAAAAAATAGATCGAAAAACAGTCGCTCTCGCAAAGAATTTTTTGACAATATAAAATGAGTATAGGCCAAAGTAGTTGTTTTCGGTAGGTAGCTTTTTCATTTTCTTTGTTGGAGATTATTGATAAAGTCCCAGTTTTGAAAACAATTAAGTCATTTTATCCATAAGAATTATTCCCCAGAATTTCTCTAGATGAAAGCAGTTTTGAGCTTGAATTTGAAACGGATCGTAATCTCTACTTGAATATACGCGATACCCATCTTAGCTTAAAGCATCAATTATTCAAGGTAGGATTGATTGATGCTTTCAAGAGGGAAAATGCAGAACATAAAGCGAAATCCGAGAATGAATCGGATGAGGAACCAGATCCCTACTTAACTCATGTAAGCAATCTACTACATTCACTATTCTCCAATTGTGAACTTTATCTTAACAACACAATGGTTTACAACAGCAATGGATTTTAACCTCATAGGGCACAAATATCGAACGAATTCAAATCGTCGGCAGTGAGTAATTAAGGAATACTTGCTTGTCATCGATAAGGTTTTGAAGAATTTCCTGATGCATTTAATATGCATCCGTTCACAGATAGAGCAAATTCCTTAGGAACAGGTATAACTTTTTCACTCTATGGGAGGCTCGCCATTAATTTGTTTACTTGCGAAAAATTATTACTACCAAAAAACAAAGTTCGAAATAAACTAATTCGAGCTAAAAGTAAAATTTACATGGTATCTGATAATCCAAATGTCAGTCTGAAATTTGTTGATTGTTCGCTGTTTACAAGATGAATTTCAGTTTCTGAACCTAATAATCAACACTTGCAATGGAATCTGGAAAGAGAACCTGTTCAATACAATTACATGGAAACTATAGCAAGAACTGTCATCATTCCATGTCGTCAAAACCAATTCATAAAGGAAATTATTTTCAATAAAGCTCGAATAAGAAAAATAGCTAGCTGTTGCAATGAATACAAATTCAGCTGTTGTGGGATCTTTTCAAGAAAACTCTTTCAGCTAACAACAATTTCAGTTGAGAGAGCTTAAAATTATTCGCGGTTGAAGAGAAATTTTTTTATTGGATACAACTTCTCCATTCGTCCTAATGTTACAACAATGAAAGCAATCCATTTTAACGAAGATTTACGAGATCTTCCAATGGAAGTTTTTCGAAATCCCAATGTTTTTGTTTTTGACATGACTTCACTTCAGCATGCAGCTGAACAATGGCATTATCCCGAACTTAGTGGAGAGTGTTTTTCCAATTTCCCTTGGAGCAAGTCTCGGAAGTGATAGTCTTGGGAGAAATACTATCAAACGTTCAAATTGAAAAATTCGGAACAGTTGCTAAAAATGTTTAATTTTTTGAGTTTTCAGGTTGCTATAAAATTATTCTAAGTTTTGGGACTTTTCATCGCTATTGTCTTTTTACTATCTTTTTTTACTAAATCTCCAGCAGACACTGTATGCTGTTTAATTGAAAATACGAGAATTTACTACAATCTAGACTGTAAAGCAGTAATTAATAGTCTTTGTCCAGTACATAAGGCTCATGTGTGAGAATTTGTTGGTTAATTACCTAAATGCGTGTAATTCAATAACCTTCGTTTTTTATCCTCAATTACACACTCAAACTATTTGTTTATTTGTTTTTAGATGTAAATCAGCTAACAATTGCAAAAATGGATACCTTTTTTACTTTTGGAAGAACTCAGGTTTAAGTACATGGGATCTTAACCCTCTGATAAAGTACCTCAACTAACAAAACAACTTTGTAAGTGTAAATTATAGCGGTAAATTTACTATACGATGCAGTGAATTATAAACTTTCTTTCAAATTTAATTTTTTTTTCATAAAAACTCATTTTTTTGAAAATGGAAAAGGAGTAGGTTTCACTATAGCTTCAGGTAAATAGAACACTGGTGTAAAGATTAAGATCATTTAATAAAATAGTCAATAGATCGAAATATACCAAATCTTATCGTGTTTTTTAAATTTTTTTGTAGTTTTTGAAAATCTTACAGTTGACTTACCATGAACCAAAAAATATAACAACTTCATTCCACAATCTGCACGTAATTAACCTTTGATTTTTACCAATTAGATAACACGCGCCAAAATTTTTGCGAAAAAAACAGACATTTCTACACAAAATCCAAAAAATAACGTTGTTCTTACCATTCTCTTACCATCACCTAAACCATGAAACTTTACCAATTCTATTCCTCATCTTATTACGATGTAGGCTCTATTCCCTATCTTAATATCTAGCTTGTATGCCCTATTCCCAGCTTAAAACATGCTTCTGCTAAACTGTGGGGAGGGAGGTAAACAGGGTCCGGGGGGCAGTAAAGTAAACTGGTGAGCTGGGGGAACACCGTTCAAACCACAAAATATAAAAATTATATATATACATTTTGAAGTGAAATCTAAAATTTTATGAAACGTATTTCGTAGCATTTGCATAAACAGGAACTGAGAGTTCACAAATAAGTTTCACAAATAACCTCTCAAAAAATTCATTTTAATCAGGTTTAATTGATTATAATGGATTACATTGGCAAAAAAATCAGGATTATAATCCTTATTTGATGGTTTATAATCGAATATATTGGATTATTTTTACCTAAAATTAATAGAAATATAATACTTTTTTGATGAAATATAATCAGTTATTTTGTAATTTTACAGATACTGGCCATGTTATGACAATATAATCGATTATGATCTGTGGGCGCTCGGTGCGGGAATTTAATTATTTTTAAAATTTAATCGAATATCTGGCACTGGCTTATACTTAGTCAGAAAGTTCAGAAAGAGTTCTTGCGTTTTTTTTTTATTTGGAACTAAAAATAAAAAATCTAAACCTTGTAATTGATATTGATAATTCTTATACTGTTTCCCTGCTTATCTGCACTGGAGTTGCATGGATAATAATCATTTATATTGTCATTTTATAGTCAGTACCGTGGGTGGATTCAAAGATCAGGCGAGGGGGAGGTTGTAACAAAAAACTTTGGTGAAGGGTTTAAAAAGAAAAATGGGGTTGAATATGTGTTGTTCTCTCTTAGTAACGCCCTCCTCCGTCCCCTTTCAATTGTAATCAAACTGGGGGGGGGGGGGGGGTTGAGTTTGAGAGTAAACTTTGGTAAACATGGAATATGGGGGCTGGTCGTAGGGATAAACGTTGGGGAGTGGGGGGAGGGGATTTGGGCACGTGTGGATAGGTGGCAAAGTGAGGGGGAGATTAATTTGAGTATGTTTAGATTGCGAATAGCCCGTGTGTAACGCAGAAATGTTTCAAGTTTTGCAAATGATTTTGCAAAAAAAATTAAACATTATAATCCGTTATAACCAATTATAATGGCTTTTAAATGGATTATAATCAATTTTAATGGATTTTAGTGGATTGTGTTTTTTACGAAAATAATCAATTATAATGTCAATAAAATCGATTTGGTGGTCTAAATTTGCAACAATAATGGACTATAATGACAATTTTTAGACAACAATTTTCCATGATATACGATTTTTATCCATGGAACTCCGGTGCGGGTAACCACCATCCAACGACGACTCCTGGAAAAAAGCGCTGAACACTGTTTTAACCAGTTTTGCGATTTTGAGGCGATTTCACCAGAAACCTCACCAAAAATCGAATTATGGTTTTTTTCGCCAGAAATCGAATTATGGCTTTTTTTCTCCGATTTTCACCAGAAATCGAATTATGGTTTTTTTCGTTAAAAGCCATTTGAGTTAGCGAATGGGTTCCTTTCGCAGCTAAAGGTTTTTTCCACCGTGAGTTTAAATCTAGTTGTACACATGTGATTTAATTCTCTTTTGTGACTTTTTAGGCTCTGTTACATTTCCGGCTAATGGGAACTCTTCCGATTTCATCAGAGTGGTGTCTCCAAACACGAAAGCAGATGTCATTTTGGATCACTTCTGCAAATCTGGTTTAAGTAACGTCAGATTGGATAGCTTAGAATTAGTAATTTCTGTGAATGGAACATTTAATGAATCTCCCCAAAAAGCCGACGCCCAAAAAGGTCAGTGAGCTTTTTTGCAGAGTTTTTCATCACAGTTTTTCTAGTAGCCTAAATGGAATTACAGGAATTGCTTTATTATGTTACAAAGCCTCGTTTTTGCTGGTAAACTAGAGTGTTTAGAACATTGTATGTCATCAACACAGTATCAGCAATATCTGCTAATTGTTCCGACTTTCGATACGAAAGTAACGGAATATTTGTGCTCGGGGTGGGTTTTTTTTTCTTCAGACAAACTTCGACTTTTTAACTAGCCATTTTTGACGGAATATTTTTATATCATTCGAAAAGTATTGTCGTCTTGAGCTTAAATTTGAAAAGATATTTTACCGTAAAGTTATGAGGGTTCAAAGATTGCCATTTTGGCCATTTTGACCAATTTGGGACAATTAACGTGCGATATAATTTTTTAACAAATACTTTTTTATCCCCCATCAAAAATATCGACTCCCTAAAATCAAATTTAAAAAGATATTTTACTCCGATCAATTTTTGGGAGGTTGAAAACTGCCAATTTGGCCATGCTCTGACTAATTTACGGCCGTTTTGTTGATTTTATCCATAATCCCCCGCTTTGTTGATTTTATCCATAATCCCGGAAGCGTGACGCGATATACTTATGGGTGGCAAGTTATCACAACAAAATCGTTCCGAAATGGATTGAGGCTCGTTCCGAATTGGATCGTTCCGAATTTGTCGTGTTCATTTCTTACGGCTCAAACTTTTACATTTGATCTCTGATATTATCCAAAACCTATAGCTTTTTGATATTTTCTTTTCCTGAAAACTATTGGATATAGATTAAGGGGAAGTCGGAACATTCAAGGCTTTGCCTTGATGTACGACCGTTCCTGTTTTGCTGTATTTGAATTCTTTTTTAAATTTTATTTTGCTCAAAAAAATACTTCCATTTCATAGTTTTTAATAAACACCAGAAGCAGACGTAAGGGTGAAAATATGGATTTTATTTCTAGAAAAGTGATTAATTTTCAACTTTTTCTTTGGGCGTTAAACGAGAACTTTAATTTATTTATTCGGTGTTCGCAACCTAAACAAACCAAGCTAATACTTATTTAGTTTGATGTAAATTCTTTTCAGCACAAAGAATACTCTCATTTCATTCATTGTTTTTTTTTAATATTCACCAAAGAAAACAAAAAGTGAAAACTATAATAAAAATTTTCAACAAACCCGAAACTGTTTTAATTTATTTTGGTAAAGTATGAACCACGATTGAAAGCTTTTAAAGTGATCATTCTTTCAGTGTCTTAGAACGATTTTTGTGCTTCCAAGTTTGTATCGAAATAAACACACGGATCCAAATTTTTTCTAATTTCAGGTACAAAGGAGAAATTTAATAAGAAGTCTGACCGTACCAGGACAAAATTTGTTCGTTCTTGTAGCTGCTACTTTTGTGCTAAGGAAAAATTTATATGTCGAGTCAATTTTAAGGTACCTCCAACTGTACAACGCTTTGCCCTGATAGGAGAGGACATGTTGGTAGAAATTTTCTTGACACTATAAGTAGAAGCAACTTGGATCCATGTGTTTGCTTCAATGTAAAGTTACTAGCCACAGAGATGAAGAAAATTCAGTGATATATCATATTGAATTTTTTTTGTGATTTATGCGTTATCAAGGAACTACTCAAATTAATGCCCAATGATATTTCAAAAACTTTTTGTTATTGACTGTTTTGGATGAGATTGAAGGTGGATGAAGTGAGAGTCACTTTTTGACCTAAAACAACTTATAACAAAGTAGAATTAGATAATATTTGTTGAGCTGCAATTTTTTAAAACTTTTCGCCCAACACTCAACGGAAACTGTAAGCTTAACAAGAGTTGTTTTCGTTTTTTTGCCGCGATAACTGCTGTCTGAACAACCGATGCTTCTTATACAGCACGTGGCTAACTATGCTTGTGCAGGAGCGGATTAAGGAAGGAAACAAGAGGGGCGTGGACGCCCCCTCCCTCTCAGGGATTCAACCCCCTCGCCAATCAAAGGGTCTTCTCTTTGGTACTTTTGTATGACATCAATTTTCGACAACCAACCCTAAAAATTTACTAAAGAAGCGGAGAAGCCATTTATCGCCAAAATATACAATTTATGAATGGAAACGCGCGCCGAAAAACGCAATTTTTGGTTAACAATTTTTTTTTTTGAAAACTTGTCTCCCTCCCTAGATCCGCTCCTGCTGGTCCTAGATCCGCCATGCTTGTGATTACATCCGCCCCGGCTTTGGAGTATATTAAATAGACGATTGCGTTTTTTCTACACATTGTCAATGAAGTATCATTGGGTCGAGTGATGTATCAATATGAAGCCCTATCAGTCTTGATGAAAGTTTTACAAAAAAAACTCCACTCGATTAATTGCAATCAGAATGAAGAGGCCAAAATGCTTTTTTGAAACCTCGTTTTGAAAAAATTTTTGAAGAAATTTACTTGAACCGTTCAACGCAACATTTTGTATAAACGCAGTCTTTATAGTGCTTAAGGAGGTCACAAAAAGTGCCGAAAATCTGTTTAAAGAGTTGAGATTGTTCATCATACAAAGTTTTGAATTATTTTTGGTCTGGATTTTGTTGCCTTGTCCTTGGGCTCAGGAAACTGATCATGGTGATGGGCAGTGGCGGATTTGGTGGGAAGGGGAGCCCCCTCACCAACCACAGGATTCACCTTTGCAATTGTTTTATGACCTCCATTTTTGGCCGACCAGCCCTAAACTTTTTCCATATACGCTTTTGGCGCCAATGTATTAGAAAGCGTTATCGAACAGCCGGAATATGCTTTTAAATACTCAAACTATCGGACTTTTTTTTGGGTTGACAACTTTTTAAACATAACCATTTGAATCACATACTTTTCTCGCAAACTATCTGAACAATTTGATATCATAGTATTAATCAAAACAACATTTTTTTGAAAGCCTTTCTTTAGATTTGACTATGTCCAGTTTATTAAGAAAAAAGTTATGGCCTCGAACCTAATCGAAGTTTTGGAACTTAAACAATGTTTTGGAAACCTTTTGACTTTAACTACCGTGGCATTTCTCAGGTTATGTTCAATTGTGAAACCCGGTTTACGAAATATTTTCAGCTTAAGCAGCCACCACCTGCTTTTTGCAGAAAAAATTTATGGATTTTGGAAATTCTTTTGACCATTTTTTAAGAAAATTACACAATCAAATCTGACATGAAAAGTTTAATTGAAAAAACCGGTTGTGATAACGGTTCCTGCAGAAGCGGCGAGTCCTTAGTTTTTTTAACGAAAAATGTTATCTCCTTGTGAAAATTGATTATCTCAAAACTTTTCACTCTTCTCACTTATTTCAGTAGAGAAACAACTATGTTTTTGGCAAGTCTAATTTTTGAAATGACAATTTTCGTGCCACATCAGTGTAGCAAATCCAAATAATATCAAAACGTACCTCCAGCCTCACCTGGGCCCTTTTTGTTTTTTTTATCGCGGCATGCAAAAATTGTGGTTTGCCTAATTTTTTTCAACATTTAAAAAAATTTTTCGTCTAATGTTTTTTTATGTTTGTGTTGTATCGCAAGTGGTGGAAAATTTTTATCCATTAAATATTTATCCATTTCTGTTATCTCCAGAACTCAACAATTTGAAGGAGGCGTTGGCCAATATCCTTATTATTGGAAATGGATGGGTAGTCAGTCCAGGTGAATCATCCAATCAGCTTTTCAGTCTGGAAGATGTGGAGCAAAAGTAAGGGAACTAAGTTTTGTCGTTTAGAACTAAGTTTTTACAAGATGTAGCTCGGGTGAAACAGTTCTAATTCGATAGCTTAATAAAACTATTTTGTTGCCGCGGTTATTCATTTAGAAAGAACAAATTATTTTAAAGAATTGTTAGATTTTCTTCAGACAAAAACAATTCCTAAAACGTCCCCCAGATCGAGGTTTTTCCCAGGCTTGCCTACCCAATACCCGAGTTGGATGTAGTGTACATTACTAAAACCAGAGTCAAACCAATTGAGTAGTTTTTAAGCAGACTTCATCTAACATATTGTTCCAGAGTAATTGGTTTTGAACACTTTTTAAAAATCAGGGAACTCGAGGTCGACTTGAAACAATCATTCAATTTCGTGTCAGTGGCTTTTGTTGAATACGAGAAATTGGCGGACAAACAAGTGCTAGTTGAGCCTGTCAGTTCCAATCTGAGGATCTACAGTCCTTCATCGACACACCACAACATTAAGGCAGAAAAAAGGTGAGGGTTATGAAAAGATTCAGTCGTCCGGTTGAATAAAGCGGCTCAATCATATTTCTGAGTTCGGCACGTAACTGAATCAACATATACGCAAATTAAAAGTTTCACTGCATCGGTTTGTCTAATTGTTTTTATTTGACAATTTGTTTCATGCAACCCGGAGGTTAGGGAATACATGCTGTATGATATAATTTTAAGAATTAACAAGTAATCATTACGAGACCAAACTGTGCACTAAATAGGCGCACAGTTTGGTGTCTGCATGTCATTGGAATCAAAAGACAAGTCTTGAAACACAATCTAAACGTGAGTGGGTTTCACTTAGAGCATTTTGGTGGATTCCGCAACAAGCGAATATAGCTAGTTATTCTGGATTCCGCAACATTCAGCGGATTCTGCAAATTACAATCAGATTCCGCAATTTTTTTTATTTAACTGTACTAAACCAGTTCTGGCGTATGAACAATTGAAAGCTGAGGCTACAATTACCAACTAACAAAGGCGAAATTTAAAAGCAAGGATTTAACGATTGTCAGCGGAATCTATGAATTTATCTTAAATCATTGGTCAACTAAATCGTGGTTGTACCATTTGGTATTTGGGTTAAATTTCCCAGCAAGCAATTTTCGGGATCACAGTTTTGAAACACACAACGCTAAACATCCCCGAATAAAACCACTTTCTAAAATTAGTATCATGCAACATTTGATTTTTTTCAGTATTTGAGATTTTTCCAGATATTTTTCAGAGATGCAACAACAATTGAGCTACTATTGAAACAAATTGATCGAAACGTATTGTCAGCAATTGAGATTATACGGCGCGCTAAGCTGTAAAAATGAACAAACTAAGCGGAACAAACACACAGTCAGTTTTTTGGAAAATTGATTTAGGAATCTAGTTAACTTTCCCTTGTTGGACCTTGTTATTTACTTCCCCTATTTTTGGACTTAACTAATAGTTTTCAATCAATACATATATGATTTTTGGCAGCCATTTCTGAAAAAAAATGTATTTTTAATACCAATTTATACAGTGTTGAACCAAAGTTAGATTTCTGAAACTCGAAAAAGATGGAGAAACGAGATCTGTTGGTAGGAGTTGAGATCGAACGTTTTTAAAGACTCGAATTAAAGGAAGCTACTATATATGTTAGTGGAATCCTTAAACAAAATTCGGTTTTTGCCTACAATTTGCGGATTCCGCTTTCAGTAGCATTTTTTCTTTTGAGTGGTACAGTATTTTAGCTACTTGTTTGTGGGATCCAAAACATCAAAAAAATTCAAAGAAAATTATCATTGTTGCGGATTACCCAACATTTTTGATTTTGATTTATCGCGGAATCCGCTTAAAATCACAAATGTCAAGTTGGTCTCGTAATTTAATTAATTCAATCGAGGCTGGCTTCCAAACAATATTACAATAATTATAAGGCAAATTCGAGAGTTATAGGTACTTATGTGATTTAAATTCTCCAGTATTTTCCTGAAGTGGTACTGGTTTATTTAAATCAATAAGGTTTTATTAGTTTTCAGTTAATACTTTGACTTTTTTACTGTTCTCTAGTTTTTAAGCAAACTATTCTCTAGCTTTTTGTGGAACGTTTTCTAGCAATTGAAATCTCAGACCACTAAATTCTATAAATCTGTCCCATATTTACTTTTTTCATCTCTTTTTTTTCAGTTGAAAGTCTTTTATGATTTTTGTACACAAGTCAAAAAGTTTTGTTATGAACATTTCTGCAGGAACCATTTTGTTATTCAGAAGTAGATCACGGCATCTTTAAAACTTTTTCTCACCAATCAAGCGTTTACTCCCCAGTTTCTTTGTCGATTCGCACGATTGTCATCTTGGTTATAACTTACTGAAAAATTCTCCACTATAATTAAGATGGGACCAAACTAAGGATTTCATTAGCATAACAATTGCCATTAACGGCAATTTATGTCAATTGGCCGAAATTCCGCTGAATTTTGGTTGTCAGTTTCTCCTTTTCAAAAATTAAAAGTTTCTCTGCATCGGTTTGTCTAATTGTTTTTATTTGACAATTTGTTTCATGCAACCCGGAGGTTAGGGAATACATGCTGTATGATATAATTTTAAGAATTAACAAGTAATTAACAAGCCATTTTAAAAGTGGCCTAAAAAATCGATTATACTGTCAAAAGAGTCGATTTTGAATATTGAAAAAATTCGATAAGAGTCCCCTAAAAATCCATTTTTATGAGTGCATGGGTCATGAAAATTGATTATATGGGTTAAAATTTTGCCGATATAATCCATATAATCGAATACTTCGCATAAAACTCCAGTGCGGGTACGCATCGCGCGTTAAATGACATCGCCTGTGAATATTACAAATTGAAATATTAGGCAACGAGCGCCCATGGATTCTAATCAACTATATTGGATTCTCGAGACAAAATATACCATTTTAATCCATTACAGATGTACAATTTAGACCACAAAATTGATTATTTGGCCAATATAATCGATTATATTTAAAAAAAAATAATCCATTATAATTCATTATAATCGATTAATCTATTATTTTGGGCACTAAAATCAATTATTTTTGCCCAGATAATCCAATCTAAATGATTGTTTCCGCAAAAAATCCAATATAACCCAATATAGTCGATTATAATGTGTTTTGTTTAATTGAACTAAATTCGATTATTTTTGCAGAATTATTGCAGTTTTGCAGGGAATTTGCAAAAACTATGCCATGTCTTTTGCTAAAAGCCAAGTCTAACTTCGACCCCTCAAGTAATTTTTAACTCCCCCAATTAAAAAGGGGAGTAAACTGGGGGGGGGGGTGTCAATCATAAACCCCCATTGATAAAGTCTACCAATGAATAGGGGCAAAGGGGGCGAACGGCAGTTGTCAAATTTCGCCTGTGAAAAATCCAAATTGAAATTTTGGGCATCATATCAAATATAATGTATTCTCGAGACAAAAATAACCCCTGTAATTCATTAGAGATGTACAATGCAGACCAAGAAATCGATTATTTTGCCATAATAATAGTTTAATTGTGAAACAAAAATCCATTATAATCCATTTTAGTCGATTATAGTTCGTTATTTTTGGCAATGAAATCAATTATTTTTGCCAAGATAGTCCATTATGATTGATTATTCTTACAACAAAATCCATTCTAATCCATTATAATCAATCAAAATGTTTTTCATTTTTGAACTTAATTTGTTTTTTTTTTCGCTAGTTTTGCAGGAAATTTGCAAATGGTTGCCATGTGTTTTACTACATGACATGTCTAACGCAACCCCCTCAAGTAAATGTTAGCCCCCTTCACAATTGAAGAGATAAAGAGAGGGAGGTAAACTAGGGAGGGGTGTCAATCATGAGCCCCCTCCCCCAAATCTATTAAGTAATAGAGGGTGGGAAGGGGCGATTCGCAGTTGTGAAAATTCGCCTGAGAAAATTTCAAATTGAAATCTTGGACACCGAGTGCCCATTATTTCTTATCATTTATAATGGATTCTCGAGACAAAAACCATCCATTATAATCTATTATAGACGTACAATTCAGGCCATGAAATCGATTACATTGCCAATATAATCGAATACTTTTGAAAAAAAAAATCCATTAAAATCAATTATGATCGATTATAATCCATTATTTTTGGCAGTGAAATTGATTGTCTTTGCCGTGATAAACCATAATAATTGTTAACTTTTGCAATAAAGTCCAATATAATTCATTATAATCGATCATAGTACATTTTATTTTTTGAACTAAATTCGATTATTTTTGCAAAACTTTTTGCAAGTAAAATTGCAAAAGACATGTTTAGCCGCTCAAGGAATTTTAGCGTCCCAAGTAAAGAGCTAAAGAAGGGCGAAGTAAACTGGGTGGTGTCAATTAGGGGGAGAGGGGCGACTGGCAGTTGTGACAATTCGCCTGAGAAAATTCCAAATTGAAAACTTAGGCACTGAGCTCTCATGGATTCTAATTGATTACTATGGATTCTCGACAAACAAAATGATCCATTATAATTCATTACAGATGAACAATTCAGACCACAAATTCTTGTGAAGTCACTCTTGTGAAGAATTTTCAAATTCTAAGCAGTTTGTAAAAATTGCTTCTGCTGGAAGACACAGGGGACTGAATAAGCATAACTTGTTTCATCAAAGCAAATTGGAAAGAGATGTTGAGTTACGAAATGCACAAATCGTTTGTTCAAGTCGCAGAGAGATGTTTTACAAATCAATACATTAAGTCAACAACTAGATATAGGAGCACAATTGAAAGAGTGGTATCAAGGTGCAACATCTACTCCTTATGGTCATATACTCACTGATTTATCTCCAAAAATTATTTATTCGCTGAAATATTGCACAAACAGCGGATCAGTTCCATCAAAATTTTAACTACCATTAGGAACAGAAACAAAGTTTTTCGACGATGAGCTTACAATACGTCTCTATACTCGCAATATTTCAAAACAATTCATCCTCCATTGTCCAAAAAATTTCATTCAGTTCTTCAGCGAATGTCTGGTAAATTTGCTGCGAGGTGAGCTACAGGATCTCCGAAAAGTAGACGTAGTAAAATATCGAAGAGAAATATCAGAGCTCACACGAAGAAGAATTTCACTGCATAAAAGAACAACTATTTTAAGCTCCTCAAAAATCTTACAATTATTATCTCTTATCACTCTTTTTGCCATTAAACGATTGACAGAGTATAGATCAGTTTGTTCTAATTCTTTACTCAGTTTATCAATCACAAAATACGCTCCCAAAAAACCTAAATTGGAACAAAAGCACGAAAAAGAAAAAATTGTACCAAAATTTTTGCTTCTATTTACAGTTCTGTAAATGCGAGGCTGAAAACGAGTAACAATAAGCATCCCATTGATTTATTTTGAATTCTCCCAGAGTTAAACTAAATCAGTCAGAAAATATCATATCAGATAATCGAGACACAAAAAATTTTGTTTTTGAGTTTTGTGTGCACTCCATTTTGGAA